GCTGCTCTTCAGCAATACCAATGTCCTTGCACAAATTCAGGTTGAACACTGACTCCAAGGACGCGGCGAATAGTGTTGATGAGGTAGCATTTCGTTACCGCACTCACTACTCGAGGGACACTGAAGCGGCATGGTTCTCTGAACAGCTAGATGTCAGTCGTGCAACCGTTATTGGGTCCTTCGAGTAGGTTGACGTAAGCTGTGGTCAGGTAAAGCAATTAGCTCACTCGTCGATTCTATATTGCATTGAACGCCTACTTGTAATCGATGAAGGCAAAACATAGTGGCACTTTTATGTTCGTTTCACTTCACTGACACCTGCTGGATAGCACATACATGATCAGTGATCACGAACCCTTTCGAATATGCTTGAGAGTGATACGAGTGAAGATTTTATCGATTTGTGACAAGAATGCAAAATCACTCCTGGTCGATGGTTTTTGAGATCTTCGAGGTCGCCTTTCTTCATGAAAAAAAATTGTTTTTGATGTCTTCCACATTACAGGTGTTCAGTTTGTCTGATGTATTCTGCAAAGTGCCTGGCAAGCGCTTTAAGCAGGATTCTTCTTCCTGCTTTAATGTGTTCTGGTTTTATGTCGTCTTTATCTGGACATTTGCCGTTTTTAGTATATCTGATAACCCAGTCATCTTCGTCCAATGTGTCTTCTTAAATGGATTCTGGGGCAACTTGTGGCAACTTCCGATTCACACCTACTTTGGAAGAGTAGAGGTTGGTTGTTGTAGAACTTTGTGAAGATCGCATTCGTCCGACTGAGACCGATAGGTTTTGTTATTCCTTCATTTTTCATTCACTCAGAATCTGCCGTTTTTGAAAAATATCTCTTCAACTAAGTAGTTCCACATCTATCAGGCCTTTTTTCGTTCCCGTTGTCTCCCTTAGTCGCATTATCCTGCAGCTTTCGTAGCCTTTCATCAACTTCTTCCGTATTTCTTTGCACAGTGCAGTATACAGGCCGTTCATTTTCCCTTCGGCCTACAGTTAGACATTCTTACTAACATTTCACACTTTGTTGAAGTATTGATACGTTGGTTTATAGGCAACTTTTCTGTCCGGGCTTGATGCTCGAAAGACAGTCTTGATGGCATTGGCGAAATGGTCATAATCCACATCTGTACCCTTGCTGATGTTTATTCGCGGTTGATTTTTAACAGCTTTTGCGCGAAAGCTTCTGGATCGAGACCTAGTCTTCTAGTTGGCGGCGGTCATTGAACTCTCGATCTGTTCGCCCTTTGCCACATCGATCGTAAGTGTGCAACGTAAACGCCTGTGGTATGACCCTGTAGAGATAATGTTTTCAACACGTCTGATATTAATCATTTCCTGTCCTTCAGTACGTAGTCGATTTGATTCGAAGACACCCTCTGGCCTTCTTCATGCTTGCTGTCGCTTTGGAGTTTGCTAAAAACACTGTTTTCATGACATGGACATAGATGTGTTCTTTCAGCAAAAGTTGCTAAGCCATCTCCACGCCTCGTCGTTCGTTCTTTTCAAGGCCATCGCGTTGAAACTTTCTTGGACCGTCGAGTGCGTAGTCATTTTCTGCATGGCTTCTTCCAGTTCATCAGATTTGTTCCACGTATTCATCGTGAGCTTGTTTGGTTCCACTGCGGGATTAGATTATTTTTGTTGCTTTTTTGTCCATCTCTAGACGCAGAATTGCTATAGGACGTAATATTGTCTTTTAGCTCAGTACAAATGATACAGCCTTCTTTTCAATTGTGAACAATCAATCTTTTCAATCCCGTTAATCAAGCATCAGTTCTCGAAGGCCAGGTTCTGAGGAACACTCGCTCAGCGTTGTTTCGGTGCTCAGCGAGTTCGATAGATCTTCGGGTCTTGCATGTTCCCATTTGTCGTGATTGCACAACGCGTTTGCGTGGTGCGCTTCGAACTCTATCTCCGGAGGTGCCGAATTTGATTTTCGCGGCGGGCAATCTTTGTCTTTACCGCGAATTTTCTCGAGCAATGAATTTGCCACATGTTGCTTCGGTAGAACATCGGACTAGAAAAAAATCTAGAGACCGAGAACGAGAGAGCGTCGAACCGTTAGGTCATGGATTAGGGTCCCGGTCAGAGTCACTAGCTCGTTTATTCGTTTTGAGGTTGATGAATGAGTACCACTCTGATCAGTGAGTGATAACGAAAGAGGAGAATTCAAACTCGGCTCTTCGCGTCGCTGCTGTCGATTCTGCCTAAAGAAATACGGCACTCCTGGCTGACTACGTGGAAGTAGAAGTCAGTGCCTCCAACGCAAACTTCGTGAAGACAAACATGCTAGAATTGGCCCTGACATATAAGTGCAAGGAAGACGGATATTTCGGACGGTTAAAATTCTTCGCTTTCTTTTGTCTGTTGTTGTTCCAGTGGCGTCCGCCTTGATCTTCTACGTTTCTGCGATGAGTCTGTCGATAGCGTCCTTACCTTGTCTGGCCACGAAGATCTCGATGATGTTCCGGGTCCGTATGCGTTTAACAAAGACGTCCTGAGGTTTTCCTAGCCGAACTAGTACCGTCACCTATTTTTCTGATTTTTGTTTGTCGTTTAGTTTTTTAACGAATAATTGTTTGGTTGTCCATTCCAGTTGCCAGTCCTCTTGAACTACTGCCGTTGTGTCTTAAACGTTCGAGTTAGAAGTGGAGCAGTCTGTGAGCATTTGGTCGCCGAAAAATATCATTGCGAGTGACGATCAGCATTACCGTATCGACCTACCGGAGTGGACTTCCTTACCACTTCCTGGTCCTCACGTAGTCGTAAAACCCAGTTTTGTGAATAGCAGCTTTAAGCTTATAATTAAAGAACGACTTCTTAGATTCAGTCTCGACTCTCCATCCGGGTCAGATCAGACCAGATGATTATGAACTGAATAGTACAAGATAAGCGACGATTACTGGTGCCAGGAGTAGAAGTGACAGTCGTTCAACTGTCACTAGTACTGATGCTACTAAGAGCATTAAGAGTGAAAATAGTTGTGCCATTTTTGCATGCTGTAGTACTACTACTGTTAGTAGCTTTAGCGGTGTTATTACTACGGCAAACACGAATGTTGCTGATAGTAGCTGTATTACTGACAACGTACTGCTCTTTGTCGTTGTAATAAACCTACTTGTTTTAATTGCATTAATTGCACTGTTCTCCTGACGCTTTCTCAACTCCGTTGGCAATATTTGTACTAGTAGCAATATGGAACTCTTGTATGTAGTGTTGCCACTGTTTGTAAGAGTACTGCTGATGTTAGTATTACCGTTAGTTTTACTATTGTTACTGCTAGTACTAATAATGCTATTGTTACTACTGTTTTATCACTCTGTGCAAACGTTACATAATTTTTAAAGTTTCAGTCACTTCATCTAATTAACATGAGTGTTATTTTTCAACTCTTCAACTCGAACAACAATTCAGGGATAAAGTGCTGGAGTAGTGTTTCTAAAATCCGCGCTGTTGCTAGAAGCGCCTCCATCGTCAGTTC